AGCTTTAAAGCTTCTATACTATCATACTATTATAATATCTTCTATTTTACTACGTAGTCTTAATAGCTTTACTACTATTAGCTATACTCTTAATATATATTAGATTTACCCTTCCTAACTTACTAAGAAGCCTTTAAGCTACTTTAGCTATTTTAAAGAAGTTTATAAAGTAGTTATAAGTATTAGAATTATTATTAATAACCTTAACTATCTCTATATTAATCTTAAAGCTATATAACTCTAATATATAGTATTTATTAGCTATTTTAAGTAAATATTTTTAAATAAAGTTAAGTAGAGTTTTCTTATTAATATAAAGAAAGTTATTATATTTAAAGCTTTTAATTTTAGTAACTTTAATATTATAGATTAAATTATCTAGTATAGCTTTACTTAGCTTATATATAGTTATAATAAAAGGAAAAGATATTATAGTTACTATATATATAGGAGGATATAAAGAATAAGCTTAAAGCCTTATTTAAATAGTTAAATTCTTATACTATAGCTATAAGAACCCTTTTAGCTATAATAGTAAAGAGTTATATTATTAAGTTTATACCCTTAAGTATAAGTTTAAGCTATTACTAAGCTCTAGCTATATTAACTATAAGTACTATTAGCGTTCTACGTTATAGATATAATACCTTTACGACGTTATAAATAATATTCTTATAAATAATAGCGTTATAAATAATACTCTTATTAATATGTTTTACTGCTCTACTACTTATCTACCTACCCTCTTCTACTAGGGATAAGTTAAACTAAGTATTAATAACTAGTTATACTAAGATTTATTTATTTACTTTATTAAAACTAAGTATAAGTTAAAGTACTACTATTAGGTTTTAATACTATAAAAAAAAGTATAGAGTGAACTGTAATACCTACTTATATAGGTTAACTAGACTACTAATAAGAGGATATAAGGAATAAACTTAAAGCCTTATTTAAAGTAGCAGTTAAGTTCTTATACTATAGCTATAAGAACCCTTTTAGCTATATAAAAAGTCATACTATTAAGTTTATACCCTTAAGTATAAGTTTAAGCTATTACTAAGCTCTAGCTATATTAGCTATAAATACTATTAGTATTCTACATTATAGATAACACCTTTATAATATTATAAATAATATTCTCACAACATTATAAATAACACTCTTACTAGCTAAGGATAAGTTAAGCTAAGTATTAACAACTAGTTATACTAAGATTTATTTATTTACTTTATTAAGATTAAGCATAAGTTAAAGTGCTACTATTAGGTTTCAGTATTATGAAAAAAAGTATAGAGTGAACTATAATACCTACTTATATAGGTTAACTAAACTGCTAACATAGCTTTAAATATATTATATTAAAATTTAACTTTTTAATATTAAATCTTTATTTAGTTTATAATATATATATATTTAATTATTATTAAAATATATTATCTTAGTAATATAATATAACACTATTAAGAATAAATAAGTATAACCCTTAACTAGCCTTAAAAGTAGTATTAGGATACTTACTACGCTATTAAGCTTAAGAGAAATAGCATAATATGTTGTTTAGATGCCAGCTCAGCTGATCTAGCCTGTACTGTTCAGTACCATCCATACGGGTCGATCCATAATATGTACTCTAGAACATTTCCTACTTCTTGTTATCCTCACCCCCACTCCTCTGCATCAAAACCCCAAGAGTGTGGAGTGAGCACCGGTCGAATCAGAAAAGCTACACTCCACGTGCGGGATCTGCTTGGCTTCCGTGTACTAGGTACTTGTTTCCCGTCCCTGGCTTTTGCCCCGAAATGCTTTGGTCCAGCATCCGTACCCTTACCCGTCTATGGCCGTGGAACATTTCCCAGTGCTGAGAAACACAGGCGCGGCCGGCCCATGGCACCCCCGCTAGTGAACCGGCTGTCAACGGCGGCGACACATCTATCAAGGTGCCATGATAGAATAACGGCAGACAATCCACACGAGATTGTCAACCTACAACCTGCTCAGTGCTCCTCATCGCGCATAAATAGATGCTCTTATGATGGATGGTTCAGCCCTGAAGGGGCCAGGTCTACCTAGGTACTGCGTGGAAGATTATCGACAAGACCGGTCAAACGCCTAGTAGTTGTAGTGGCGGTGGCTGGGCCACATTCACCAGAGACTGCCTGCCCGTTGTTACCTTAAATCAGCCCTCAGGAATGTAAGAGCAAAAACCATGTAAGAAAGGGATATTGGCTGCAGGAACATCTACAGGAGAAGAAAACTGCATCAAACATGCAGGTAACGCCATTACCACGGCATGACGAGATCCCCGCAGCCTCACCGCGCCCATATCACTCGTTGAGGGCTTATTTCTTTCTTTTGCACTCGGCCAAAGACATGCCGCGACGACTTGGCCACAACCATCCCACGAGCTACAACAACAAGCAGCACGCAGCACGCAGAGCCCAGGAGCCGGGAGGTCGTGGCTTTGAGACCCTGGCGCCGCGCTTTCTGTGCCTGTCTGTACGCCCCATCCTCTGAAGGGAAGCAAGTCTCACTTTACCTGGTGCGCGTACGACGGAGGGGCAAGCTTTTGGTCTAGAACCTGTCAAACCTCAAAAGTCGGGCTCGCTCAGAAACCCTCCTTCGCCCTACACATCCCCCCTCCCCCCCCAAATCAATCAACGACACCCACCCCAACGTGAATTGATGAAAGTCAACTGGAATGAGCACTACTGTCTGCTACTGCCGAAGATCATCGGCACACTACAAGGTCACCTTGTGCCACTTGGCATGCACAATCAACCGGCCACCCCCCAACTAGCCCCAACTCACGAGTACCAGCCCAGGGACCTTTATTCAGGTAGGCAAGGTAGCGTAGACCGGGTGCATGTTGACACATGTTCTTGGCCTACCACCTCCGGTCCGGATGCGCGGAAGCGCCACACGCGGTGGTGCGGAAGGGAGGTCTTACAAGCCGCGATTGTGATCGATTGCCATGGAGAGAGCCGCGTGCGCGCTCACGTCTTCCGATTCGACTCTCTCTGGTCCCGGTGGGATACTTGCTGCGCGTTGAGATGAAGATTACTGCAGGGAGATAGATGGAGAGGAAATCCGGGGGGAAAAGTAGAGACAAACAGACACTGGCCGCGGGCTGATGGGCAGAGGGGAGGTTGCGGAAGTAAAGAGACACGGTTCGCATACGACGTTGGGATGCCCTTGCCCCCTCCCCCTCCCTTCCCGCACTCAACGACCCATCCATACATTGGCCACTTACGAATGCCGCAGTACACACGAGCGGCGGTGACAGCGACGAGGCAACTGATAGGGCGCGAGATAGGGATAAGCTGTCACACACATGCCAGCCAACCCCTGGGCCAAGTTCCACGGGGGTCAGCTCACCATCCACGGTGCAGTTTTGGGGAGGAGCGGAGAGGGGAGGAGGCGCCTTTCCCGGAGTTCACTCCGCCCCACGCCGGTCAAGGAGGGCACCACTGGGGGAGGGGAGGTCCAGACTCGACAGCCCCGGTGTGGAACTGGCAGCTCTGCTCTGAGGTGCGGATACTTTACTCTAGCACATCTTCACGGCCAGAGCGTCTCCCCAAAGGCTGAGGAGTGGGAGGTTGGGGGCCATCTCAAGTGTCTCGGCCATCTGTCTTCCCATCATCGTCTATAAGCCTGCAGGCGGTGCGACCTATGTACCGACCTTACTACGCCTTAGTACTATGTATGTACACACACGGCCCCTGCCCCTGCCCCTGCCCCTGCCCCTGCCCCCCTTTCTTCACTGGTTTTATGGATATCGAGTTGGCCAGCAATCGACACTACCGCGCGCCCATATCCGTAGACCCCATCTTCAATTAAGATGGCGTGTCCCTGCCCACCGCCGCGGCTCGGCTAGAAACCACGAGACTTGAGACCCGATTCTGCGCTCTAGTGTGAAGCGGTGCGTATATTGTAGCTTTGGATGGCCCAAGATCAGTGACCTGTCAATTCCGTTGTCATGTTATCGAGACTCTTATCACGGGGCAGGCTTCCCCAATCAATCGCGGAGCAGGGGCCGAGGACCAATAGAGAGAGGCTGGGCTGGGCTAGGCTGGGCTAGGCTGGGCGCACAATACTTTACCTGGCGAGTCCTTGCTTACTCATCTCCACTGGTGACTGAATCCCGACATCGACATGCCGTCATTCACGGGGCAATGACCCCGACGTGACCTCCGCCTTGCAGCCGTATGTTCTCCTTTCGTTGTCACCACCCACCGCGCCGCTTGCTGGCATCCAGGCAAGGCTTCACTGTTGTTGGACCCGACGCTGGTGAAGGCTTTGCTGCGTGGGGTAGATGACTTTGGACTTCTGCACAACTGAGAACTGACAGTCCACGCGCAATCAGGAACACCCGGTCGCCGACAAATCAATCCTATGACGGGACGATGCGTGTTCTCCCCCTTCTTACTTATATCCCAAGCTGTGTTTCCCCATTTGATGTTATCTCTTCTTCTTCATCGCATTTCCCCCACGCCACATCCTTCCTCAAAGACTTACAATCTCCCCGCTTCTTATGGTTATTAGACCACAGCAGGAGGAAAAGTACCTGGAAACTGCCTGCCACAAAGCTGATTCGATGTCGAGTCCTGCAAGGCTACGGCCGCTGCTGCCGCTGGCGCCGGGTAGCCATCCACGACTCCAGCCACAACCATCTCCAAATCGTGGGCTGAAGAGAAAGAGATCCCAGGTCTCGGCCGCATGTAACGGTAAATGGTCTCAGGCTAAACCCTTCTCTCCCAAGTCGGCCCGTCTGATTCTGACACGTTCCCGCAGGATGTCGCAAGAAAAAAGTCAAGGTCAGGATTTTTGTTCAACCTCTGCGGCCTTACAACCGTATAAGCCCCGGCTAAAGTAACCTGATTAAGTGTGATGGCATTCGGCCGAGCTGCTATACATGCTCCGCAACGAAAACGCAATGCGTCTATCCCGTACCCGAGGGCCTCTCCGTGAGAGAGGCCCAGAGGCAAGAGTTCACGACCATGTCGAGGGCGCATGAGAGCAGCCGCAAGGTGCTAGAAATGCTGAGCGTCAGTCAAGACGGCGCCTCTCATGAGATCCTGCAACAACTGAAGCAATCGACCCATCTCGATAATACCATCCAGTCCATTGCCGATGCCAGTCTTCTGCTTCCAACGAGCGACGGTGATGATGAGATGGGTGAGTAGTCTCGACCATGTCTCACTTCAATACCTGAACTACGACTGATCATCTGAGAAAGCTACCTCTCTCGGCACGACATCGCAGCCGGAAGACAACGTACTGGCAGATACAGCGCAAAATATGACAGGGAGGTGAGTTCTCATTGATACCATCTCAAATGGCATGTTGTTGTCTGCATCGTACTGAAGATGTCTCTTCTTTCACTGGTAGCATTGAGAGTTCTTTAAGATCGCCGTCGGCTGAAAGGGTCGACACCGGCATCACCTTGCCCATCTCTCGCTGGACGACGGTTCTAAAGGACGATAAGGTATTGACCCAGCTTCTCGACCTATTCTGGACCTGGGACGGCACACTTTCCCGCCTCGTTGCCCGGGATCTCTTCACCGCTGAACTGGGCAACGCCGACGCCCAACAGCAGCACCAATTCTGCTCTCCGCTTCTCGTCAACGCCATCCTGACCGTCTCATCTGTGCGTTGCAAAAGAAAAGGAAAACCCTTTGTCTTCCTCCTCGCGCCCGTTTGCTGGAGACTGACTTTGCTTCTAGCTACACGTGATGAGGAAGCGCAGTAGCCTCCGCGTGGATGTCACTAACATGGCCCAGAAATTCGCGGATTGCGCCTTCGAACTCCTCGACGCCGAACGAGGCGTGAGCTCCCTGACTCTTCTACAAGGAGCAGCGGTCCTTTGGGTTTACTGCAGCAACGAGGGGACCTGTGCCTCTCGCACCCGAGCCGCGAGCCTGGCCAGGCTGATGCTGCAGACCTGGTCAACTCTTGGCCTAGGCACGGATGGGTCTAACCTATTCCGCCACCCAGAGACCCAGGCGACGGACGACTTGAAATTGTGGCAGGCAGCTTCCTACCTCACCTGGGGCTTCTACTGCTTCTTCGCGTAAGTCGCCTGAGCTACCCTTCTTCTTGGGCACGACGCCCTCCCGAAGCCACATTACTAATTCTCTTGGCACAGCAAGATATCGCTTGTCTCTTCACCGCACATGCCCGTCTCAAAGCCGCTCATAATGAAAAGTTTCGAGGCTCGAGACGGAATGTCGGCCGGCTCGCTAGGGCTAGCATCTTCCGCCATCGACAGCCACCCAGCCAACCAGGCATGGGACGTGTACCAGCTGGAGGTGTTTGCCGCCGAATGTTCCCTCTGCGAGATCATTGACCAGCTAGTCTCTGGCTTCCTCGGGAACGGCACTCAGCGTCCCATTCTCGACCGCGGACGCTGCACGGTGCTGTACAACAAGCTTCTCTGCTGGAAGCTGTCTCTGCTGGATCACCTCGCGATGAATAACAGCGTACTGCCATCTATATTACTATTACAGTAAGCCCCCCCCCCCCCCCCCCCCCACCCAAAAAGAAATCTCTTTTTCAAACTCAACCTTGCAACAACTCAAAGAAGACACAAGAAATTGACAAAGAATAGAAGCACATACGATTTTGTAGCGTTGAAGCTTCTCGACACGTTCACGAGCCAGTCTGGGCCAGACTTTGACGGCCGCAACGCCGTCTCCCTGCAGATCCTCCACGCCAGCTCCATGATCTCGAACTTGTGGATTTACCACGGCCTCTACACCCTGAGACACGAGTACTGGGCCGCGGAGCACTGCTCGTTCGCCGTCCACGTCCTACTGCCGCAGATGGCGGAGCCCTCCGTGCACGACACGGTCGCAAAGGCGTGCTGTGTGCTCCATGAAATGGGCGTCCGGAGTGGTGTCTCGGGCCGTGCGGCGGAATTGCTCCGGGATATAGAGGAGACGGCCAGGGCCAGGTGCATCCGTATTCCGCCGTATGGCAGGGGCGGCTCCAAGTCGCCGGAGATGAACGCCGTGCCCACATTTGTTGTGAAAGGAGCTCGTGTTCTTGATGGTTCTAGGGGAGGGTTCTTCGGTGACGCCGACGAGAACGGCTGTGTTGTCAGCTTCGAGAGCACCATTGGCTACATTCAACAAGTGCAGCCTCGCTGAACGTATTAGACCACATGGTGGCGAATTCGTTTCTTCGGCTGAACCTGGCCGATGTTCAACAGAACGCTCAATGCACACGAAGCAAGTCATACCATAACTGTCGCCCGAAGACCCTAAGGGGCGGGAAGGGGGGAAAAGGTTACATTATACTTAATGAATAAATACAGACAAAAGTCGCAGAGCGGCAGGAATCAATCTCCAAAGGAACAGTATCTCCTCATTCCACCGCCCAAAGCCGCTTCCCTTTATGACCGTCGATGCGTCGTCGCGGGCTCAACATCCTCGCCCTGAATCCAAATCCTCTTAATCCTGCGCGTCGCCGATATGTCCACCAAGGGATCGCCGTCGATGAGCAGCAGATCGGCTCTCTGACCGCCCCTGACGATGCCGCGATCGTGGAGCCGGAACGCTGCGGCAGCGACGCAGGTCGCCGAGCGAAGAGCGTCCATCGGCGTCATGCCCGCGTCAACGAGCAGCTCCAACTCGTCGTGCAGGCTCTCTCCGAAGGGTATCTGTGTGCCGGGCACCAGGTTCGCCGTCGTCCCGGCGCAGATCGTCACCCCGGCCTCGTAGAGCGTGCGCACGCTCGCCGCCGCGTTGTCGTAGCCGTCGCCCGGCATGGCGCCCGGTCTGCTGTGCTGCCGAGACCCGGCGTCAGCAGCAGCAGAGGAGGCATTGTTGTTATCGTCTCGCGGGGTGCGGCCATAGAGGCCTCGGAAAGGGAAGCTAGGCGGCCCGGACGGCAGCGGGTGTGCTTCTCCTCCGTCAACTCCATCGACTCCGTCTGGCGTCGCGCATGTCCGCATCATTCTCAGCGTCGGCACGAAGACTTTCCCTCGGGCGGCCATCTCTCGTGCCAGTGCGGGGTCGAGGGGCGCGTCGAGCGGTGCGTGGGCGAAGACGTCGAAGCCGGCGCGCATGGCGCGCTCGTAAGACGCTCTGCCGGTGGTGCGGGCGATGGTCAGCTTGTTATGGGCGTGGGCGGCGTCGACGATGGCCTTGAGGAGGGAGTCGTTGGGAGGAGAATGAAGGTCGACGACGACCTTGATGAAGTCGGCGCGGTCCGGACCGCTCGCTCTCGCGGCGGCAAAGGCCACAGCTTCTTCAGTCGTGCGTATGACCACCTCGTCCTGGTTGTCGTGGATGTATGGTTGAGGATCCCGTGCTAGCACCGCCGCGGTCCCGCAGGTGAAGACGGTTGGCAACCTCGTGCGGCCGGCGGCGTATATGCGCAGGGCCTGGCATTGCTGGGTGTTGCTGCTCGAGTCGATGACGGTCGTGACGCCGTGCGATGCGAAGGTGCCGAGGGCGGCGTTGGCGCCCCTGATGTTGGCGTAGGTGTCTATGAAGCCGGGAATCAGTGTGCACCCTTGCCCGTCAACGACGACGTCGAAAGTCTCGACCGCAGAGCCGTCATTCATGGGGCTCTGTATGTCTCCGGCGGACCGAGTGATGACAATATCACTCGGCTCCAAGATAGTCTCGTTATCAAAGACACGAACGTTTTGAATGAGGATTTGGGTCATGTTTTTCCCCTCCACTCTGCAAGAACCAGAGATTGTATACACAACAGCTTGAGTTGTCGTTCAGCAGATCGGCAAGAGCGGTCGTCTCCTCGTGTGTGGTTGGTTGGTTGGACTTGGGATAGGGGCTCCGTAATGGGGCTCCGTAATCATAATCTGCAGTAAGTGCCAGAGACATACGGGAATTTGCGGCTGACTATGTTGAGCCTTCTCGCTTTGAGGCCTAACGGGGTACAGGACTCCGTTATGACATAATGACATAGGTGCGGCGGCCCTCGCGTTCAGAGTTGGCGGTTAATACAGCAGTTACGAGGCAGTGACCACACGGCAGTGGGCTTGGGTCCAATCCACAACGAATGGCCTCCGTGTGGTGACCTAGATTCAGCACATTCGAGATGAATCAAGTAAGTCTGTCATGTATTGCCCAACATAAAGGGACTTGGTGCAGCCCTCCGGAGTTTCAGACGCGTGTGGACGGACTGGACTCTTTCTCCATAACAGCCCCCTTCCCACGTCCGTGGAGCCTGAATACAGACGTATTTTTTCGCCAACAATACCTAAAGACGAACTTAATCGCCTCCATTGATTTTGTTGATGATGACATGGGTCAACGTCAGAAGCGGGCTGATAATCGCCGTCACAGGGCAAACAACGGGCATGGCCAATCATGAGAGGCGAGGCAACGGAATGACGTCCGGCGGATTAGAACGGAATTCTTTCGACTATGAGGTCGGCGTTTTACACACCGTCAACAGGTATCGCTCACTTTGACGCCTCTTCTCATTCCGTCGACGCCGGTTCACAATCGTCGAGGACTCATCCTCGCTGCTCTTTCCATCGTTAGATGGCAATGGACGTCATCTGACGATGAAGCGCAAGAGCTTGCTTTTCATCCGAGCTTCAGTAAATCCTTGATAAGGAGCATCGTGGCCATAGTTGGACAATTGAGTGTGAACACGGCGTAAGAAACAGAAGAAGATACCTTGGAATCGTTGCATAGCAAGCCCTGGATACAGACCTGATGTCCTCTACTCCGGCTACTCGTCTACTTCTTCCAGTTGTCAAATTCCATATGGCGATTAAACTTGGGCATCGAAAGCCCGTATTACATCGGGCGCAGGCGATACTTATTTACAGGAGCACCCTCCAGGCCTATCCCCCGGGCCTGACTTGGCCTGGCTTGGCCTGGTGATGCGTTTTCGCCGCAAATGAAGAATATGTCTGACATGGGCATCATCCGTACTGGGATGCTGGAGATCAAAACTCAAGGTCAATTGCCCCCCCGCCCTTTTTTCGGTTTTTTTTTTCCCACTCCCCTTGTTTTTCTCCAAAAGACCAGTTCGAACAAGGGGAATCAACCTCAGGCAAAAACCAGTATGACGGTGTCAGGCCTACTTACCACTCTCGTCGGCACTATAAGATCCCATACGGTTTTATAGAGCCTCTCGGAGAAAGCAGCTTAGAAGGAGAGGCCTACGTATATAGCGGAGGCACACGAGAGGAGCCGCAGGGTGCTAGAGCGGCTGTCGGCTAGCCCGTGTAGCGCGTCCCTCGAAATACTGCAGCGGCCCAGCCGGTCTGCAGCCCTGATTATGCTGTTGAGGATATTGTGGATGCGAGTCGGTTCTTGCTGCCCGCTGCCCAAGGGGGCAAGAGTTCCTCTCTGCCCCCTGAGCGTTGTGAGCTACGTGGGTTGGTACATGGTCCAGGGTGTCATTCGGCACGCAGAGGGTACGTCTCCAGAGACTGGATTGTAAGCGTGCTGGGTTCCACGAGAAATTCTAATATACGGTATTCATAGTGTGCCTTTTTGGCTGGCGTCTAGCATGCCATTGTCATTGTTAATAGGCTTGGCTGCCTATGAGGACTTTTCGCGTGCTTATCTCCGGTCCCATCATTACCACTCCATCGTCCAGCTTTCGTTCACATGGCACTCGGACGAACATGCAAAACACACACACACACACACACGCACAATCTGCGGCTGCGGCTGCGGCTACCGCGCACCTCGGGCACCAGTCATGAACCGCCTCAGCAAGACACTCCTCCACCTACAAACACACGTCCGAGCCGCTTGAAACGGTAACAAAAGCCCCGCGAACCCTTTCAAAATCACCATCTCTGCCTAGAACCATCTCTTCCTGGGACCATCTCTGCCTGGGACCATCTCTTCCTGGGACCATCTCTGCCTGGGACCATCTCTTCCTGGGACCATCTCTGCTTGGAACCATCTCTGCCTGGGACCATCTCTGCTTGGAACCATCTCTGCTTGGAACCATCTCTGCTTGGAACCATCTCTGCTTGGAACCATCTCTGCTTGGAAAGCCAAAACCAAGCACGCGTTTGCTGACATGATACACGCAGCCAGGATGCAGAAAACGAAAAGTCGACCTCAACTTGACATATGGTCCGATCTCCCTCTCTCTCCCTTTCCACCTTCGAGCCAACGGATCATCCAGAGCCAAGATAGAGGAATCTTTATCAGCAGTACGACGGCAACCGGCCAATCTGCAGTTCCTACACACACTCAGAGCTACCATACACATGCCTGGTCCCGGAAGGCCTTTCTCAAAGGGAGGCCCAGAAGCAGAAGCCTATCGAGGCGATAGGGGCTCACAAGAGCTGCAGGGCATAGAGCTACTCTACTCTAGTAGAACCTGTACTGTGCGTCTCTCAATATCCTTCAGAAGCTGCGGGAGTCCGAGAACTTCGACGCGGCTATCGAGGGCATAGAGTATGCGAGCCTATTGCTATCCAACGTTGACGAAGGATCGGAGTGTTCTCCTGCGTGCTTCCCCGATTTTCCGGGTTTTGCCGACTGCCATCTACGATATTCCCATGATTCTGGCTTTCCCGTGACCGGCCCGTCTTCCGAGGGCGGCCCTTAGTCGTGTCTGAAGATCGGCTGGTTCAGAGGAATAACGGGCGGGCGCGAAAGCGGGTTTAAAAGACGACTATACACGGGCATGCGGAGGAACCAATAGGGAAATTAGGTATTGGAACCTGGCTTCGTTACATACCCCCTTTGAGTATCGAACCGGGAAACACGTAGACAGTGTCTACATTACGTATTCGACGGGATAAGAAGTCGTTAAATCGAGTAACTTCAATACAATTCACACGTTCTTTGAGCTGTGCCATAAGAGGTGTTCGGGTGGTCTGTCCGCAGGAAATCCATTCAGGTTGGCCCAATCAAATTGTTCTTCACAAGCTTGATGGCTTCAGAAAAGATTCGACGCCCGTCAATGTGCATGCAAGTCGCCCCAAGAACCCTCAGACCAAGTCCACTCACAAAAGCTATAGATAGGTCTCGTCAACACATCTGAAACTCCGGAAGATCCATTCGAGGAATGACCATACATCTGAATGCCTTAATAATACCTACCATTGATCGTACCTCTGGACTGAACACTGTATATGCAGCCGTTCTTAAAAAGTAAGCTTAGCAACATAGCCAGAAAAAGATCTTGATCTACTTGCTTACATATTATTAAGAACGTAGTGATAACTATGATATGCTATAGAGAAGAACTAGCTAGACGCTAGGGTACTAGAGAGGGCTATATAGTAACCTCTAGTATTTACTAGTAAGTTATAAGAGTAGTAACTAAGTAGTAGGGCTTATTAATACCCCCTCTTAAGCTTTATAGCGCTAGCTAATATATAAACTAGCTACTCTAGCTAAAATCACTCTTTAAACTAAAAAGCTTAAAAATAAGGAGTTTTTAACTATTTAATAACTTAGTAAAATGTTAGATAATCTTTAGTTTTTAATTAGTTTAAAAGGTTTAAATTAATTTTTCTCTAAACTAATTAATATCCTCTATTCTATTCTTTTATATTTAATTAAAACTTTTTATTAATCTTAATATTTTAATAAACTTAGTATACTTATAAAAGCTAAAGTTTTTTATAAAACTATTAATAAGTATTTTATTACTTTTAATTTAATAGATTATAATAGTTTTATTATAAATAGCTTTTTAAGTAATCTATTTATAATAGAGGTTAATATAATAAGTTTAAACTTTATTAAGAGGGTTTATAATATTAATATATATATTAATACTATTAATAAAAAGAATAATAAGTATAAAGATCTTCTAATTAAGGAGCTATTTAACTATATAATATAGCTATTTTATAATAACTATAATAAATATTAAGTTAATATATTTAGTTTTAATTAAACTAAAAGTAATAAAAATCTACTTTTTTAACTTCTAAGTAACTAAACTACTAATAAAATAAATAATATAGCTACTAATTAAGATATAAGAAAGCTTATTATTTATAAAAGATAAATCTATTATAATATATAAGTTATAATTAATTATTAAGTTAAAACTACTAAAGATAATATTATAATAAATAGTTCTTTTAAAATATTAAAAGAGATATTTTATAGTATAAAAGTAAACTTTAGAAAGTTTAATATTAGTTTAACTAAGCTTATTAATAATATAAGATATATTAAGATATATATTAATAGTAAAGTAGTTATAATAATTAATCTCTTTAATATAGATAGTATATTCCTCTTCTATATACTCTTTAAGGTCTTATATTATTAGTAGCTCCTTATAAAATACTATAAAAGTTTTAATAAAGTTAATATCTTTATATCTAAAGTAAGTAAGGATAGTTTTAGTATATTTAGTCTAGTTAATAAAGATTTAGTTATTAATATAGTTTTAAATAATCTAAAAACCTAAAAACTTAGTAACTTTACTAAAGTCCTTAAAGAGGTAAACCTTATTAAGTATATTATAAACTTACTTAGTTATCTTCTTATTAAGAGTAATAATAATATTATTATTAATATATATAAAAATATAAGCTTTAAGTAATTTATTAATAAATAAATAGACCTTATTATTAATAAGAGTAAAGCTAAGTTTTTATATCTTAATACTAATATAGTTAAACTATTAAAGAGAGCTTTTATAAAAGCTATAAAGTATTTTTTAAAGTAGCTAAACCTTACTATTATTTATAGAGAAGTTTAGAAGCTAATATATATAGATTTTTATATTATTAAGGATAAGAGTAGTTAAAAAAGCTATATTAAAGTTATATATTTTATACTTAAGTTTATAAAGAGCTATAATAGTAAAAAATATATAGATTATAATAGTTATAGTAATAGCTATATAAACCTCTTAAGAGGATTAATTTTTATACTTATAGTTACTATAAATTACTTAATAAGTTTTATATTAAATAATTTTATTATTATTATTAATTTTAATATTAAGTATTTACTTACTAAGTAAGATCTTAGTATTATAAAGAGAGTATATAAGCTTATATATTTCTTTATTATAGAACTACTATATTTTACATTTAAATACTACTTTTTAGTTAGACTACTAAAAGCTAAACTTAATATTATTATAAAATTTTAAAATAATAATACTATTAAGTAGAACTTTTAATAAAGTAGTAATAGTAATAATATTAAGTATAAAGTAATAAGTATAGTTTAAAACCTAGATATTAATAGCTATAAAAAGCTTTTTCTTATATTTATAGACTTTAGTAAGCTAATAGTAATATCCTTTAAGTTTTTAAATTACTTAATAAAGTTTATTTTAAATTACTATCTCTAAGATTATTATATTAATTACCTCTTTAATAATATCTATAATATAAGCTAGATCTTTATAATTAGCTTTTTTATTTTCTAATATACTCTTAAATAAGTTATTATTATTATTATCCTATATATTAGTTTTTAAAGATATTTATATAGTATTATTAGTTACTATAGTTATATCTTTTATAATATTTTAGTAATAGAGGATTTCTTCTAAAAATAGAGATATTATATAGTTAATATAAGCTAGCTTTAAATTAATACTCTTATTATTAGAAATTTACTTATTAATATTAATAATAAGTTCTTTAAGAGTATTAGTTATATTAGATATAATAAAGTAATAAATTAGAAAGTTAAGATTATTAAAGTAAATAGTATAATTACTATTATTAGTAATAAAAACTTTAGTAATAAGTAAAAGAACTATTTTCTAAAGCTATTTATAAAATTAGATATCTTAATAATAAAATATTTTTTTCTTATTAAGAATATAGATATAATAGATATAACTATAAAATAAGCTATAGTTAATAAAAAAGCTTTTTATTACTTTAATTTCTATTTTAGCTAAATAGATAGGTTTATTAAAACCTTTCTTATATATATAAGTAATATATCTAAATATTCTAAGATACTTAATATATAGAAGCTTATAATTAGCTATAAAATTAAACTTATAAACTATAATTTTATAAAGACTTAGCTTACTTTTATTAATTTATAGAAAAAAGTTAAGGATCTAAATAGTAGAGTTAATAATATAGTCCTAAAGTTCCTCTAGAAAACTAATATTAATTAGTTAAGTTTAAGATACTTTAATAATAATCTTTCTAGCTTTTTTAATAATACTATTTATAAATAAAGTATTAATAATAGATATATTTATATAAAACTTAGAGAAAAATAAGTCTTAAAGGACCTTCTTAAACTTAAACGTATTATTATAAACTTAGGTCTTAATATTAATATATATTATATTAATAAAGATATTACTAAATATCTTAATAATATTAAAAATAACTTTATAGTTATAGTTAAATAGGAGTATAACTTAGTAGTAGTTATTATAGTAATTTATAAAATATAGAATATATCTCTTATTTATAATAGAGAGAGGCTTAACTTTAATAATATTAAAATAGATCTTATTATTAATATTAATTAATAGTAGTAGAAAGTCTCTACTAATAATCTTAATAAACTTAGTAAGATAGTAAACCTTATAGTAGAAATCCTTAATTTCTTAAATTATAAATATAATATTAATATAATAGTATACTTTAATAACTTAATTAAAATAAGTATATAGAAAATAGTAATATATAAGCTTAAAAAATAGTAGCTACTTATAGCAAATTATAGTAAAGCTAATAGTAATATTAAGAGGAATATCTTTTTAATACTAAATAATAAAAATAATATAGATATTTAATTACTAATTAACTTTAATAAACTAAATACTTAATAAAACCTATATTATAACTAAAGTATAATAGTTATATTTAATATTAATATTATATAACTTTCTTAAGCTAAAAAAGTTAGTTAGACTTAGAAAGCTATACTTAATATTATTAATAGTCTAATTAACTATTTTAGTTAAGTTCTATAGATTAATAGTTTAGAAGTAAACTATATTAATACTTTTAAGTTAAATATACTCTCTATTAGTACCTTTATATAAAAGTAAATTAGCTTTAGTTTTATATATAATAAAGTAACTATACTTATTAAAAATAGAGTTAGAATAGCTAAAATTAAAAATAATATCTAAATAGAGAATCTTCTAATTAATAATAATAATAAGTACTATTTTACTAATAATATTATAAATAAGTTACTTAGTAATATCTACTAGTTTTTTAATAATAATATTAATTAATAAGGATTAACTAAGAATATTTAGTAAAATATAAATATAAATAGATTTATTCTTAAATATATCCTACTTATACTTAGTATTATAAATATACTTCTTAGCTTTTATTAAGATAACTTTATAGTTAGTTTAATTATTTAGAATAAGTTTAAGATAAGTAGTTATATACTACTAAGTAGTATAAATATATCTATAATAATTATATTTAGTAGTAAACTTATTAGCTAATAATATAATAGATACTTTTTTATTATTAATACTCTATTAGTTAATATTAATAGTTTTTTTAAAAATAATAATACTAATTTTCTACTTTTTATCTTATATAAAAGTAAATAAAGTCTAAATAATATTATTTTATATAAGTATCTTATTATTAATAATATAAAACTTATAAGTATTTAGAAGCTTTATCTTAAAGTAGTTAAGAAAGATAATAAACTAATAATAATTAGAGTATATACTAATAAAGCTAGTAATATAGCTCTTAAGGTATTAAGTATATCTAAGTATATTATAAAATATCTTATAATCCTCTATAATATCTTTATTAAATTTATTAATAAATATACTAATAATATCTTTTAAAACCTTTAAAATATATTTCTTTAAAGTTTCTATTAACTTATATAGGTTATTATTATCCTCTTAGCTTATATTAAAGAGCTTATTAATAAAGCTCTCTATAGCTATAATAAGGATATTATAGATAATATCTTAATTAGTTACTTAAACTTCTTTCTTTATTTCTATATTAAACTTAAGAATATTCTTAATAATATAGTTATTAACTTAAGTAGTTTAAAATATAGTATTAATAAAGACTTTTTAGGTTATTTAGTTAGATTTATTATATAGCTTTAGTATATTAATAGGGGTTATTTTTATAGTAATATTAGTTATAATAATAGCTTATTTATAATAATAAAATAAGAGGAGTAAGAAGTTATAATAAGAAAGATTAATAATATAAAGTATTTATTAAGAGGAGTTTAATTTATAAAGTAGTAAACTTCTCTATATATACTTAATTAAAAATAAATATAATAAAATCTCTATTATAATATATTAGAGTATATTAAGAGTTAAGAAAGTAAATAAATAAAGTAATTAGTAATAAAATTAGCTAATCTATATATAAAAAGAATAATAAAATAATAGAGATAATTAAAAGAATTATTATAAACTTAAAATAGTTAAAAAGACTTTAAAATTAATATTTTCAAAGTTAATTTAATAAAGCTAAACTTATAACCTAAGAATATAGTAATAACTATAATATACTATAGAGAAGAACTAGCTAAACGCTAAGGTACTAGAAAGGGCTATATAGTAGCCTCTAGTACTCACTAGCAGGCCATAGGAGTAGCAGCTAAGTAGCAGGGCCTATTAACAGTTATAGACACCGTGAGACCCCGTAGTAAGCAGGCAGTTTTATAAATACACCGTAAGGGAATGTGTGTATTTGTACCACTACTATGCTGTTTGCCATTTCGTCTCTGGGCATTTGTCCTCCAACTTAAGCTGAGCATCCGTAGCACCTGACATCTTCTTTAGAGTAATATGATAGATGCACACAATAGATGTTTTGCCGCTGACCACGAGACTCGACGCTACGAGGACAAGGAGAATAGGTAGCTTCATTATTATAACCATTTAATACGTGCTTTATGGCGAAGTCGGCTCTGGTGATACTGTGGTGTGGTGGTTTCCGTGTGAGGGAGGGCCTTGTTAGCTCTTTAGAAGAGGGCCTAATACGGGGTGCGGAACGGTCGTGGGAGCTTGAGAGATCTTCTTTGACCGAGCGGGAAGTTTAGGAGGGGTTTATAACATGGAAAGCTTTTCAGCCGCAAAACCATGATCAGCCAGGTTGTTGCGGCGACGGTTGGAGCCGGACACATGTGGAGGGTAAGCCAGGTCTCAACGAGCGCCATAACGGTTGAACTTTAACATGAGCAATTCCTAATACGTCGTATGAGCTGTAGAACCTAATCTAACCAAGACCGCCTATTCTTCCTATGTACTTAGTGACTTTGATGAGGACGACGACGGGGGACGATAACGGGGGACGACGGCAGGGGACGATGGCGATAGGCGCTGATAACAGAGGACGAAGACGATACACGACGATAACAGTGGCAATAACAATAGCAATAACAGTAGCGACTACAATAGCAACGATAGCGAGCACACAGGAACAGTAGTCGCTTTAGCACAGGAAAATTAGGCGGTCTCATCTAATCCATACCCTCCCCTTGTGAAAACACACCCGCCAGAACTCTGCTTGACCTCAACCGCGTATTTGAGACAACAAGGTTACAACCCCCGTCCCGGGGCTTTCAGTCTGGGCCATTCCCAAGGTTTTGTGCCATTGCGAAGAGCAGGAGGACCAAAAGGGACAACAGGGATCAGGGAATGATATTTGCGGAACTGCTGTGGCTCTCGCTCCATCCATAAGTCGATAAGATTTCGCTTCTCGGCGGGCATCATATGCGGAAGAGGCATCTCGCTATATGCGGGGAGACCTCTGGTCTTGGGATCGCGATATATCTCCCAAGCCTGTCTCATGCGTCGTGCCTGGCCCGCGGTGAAGTGCATGCCTGTGTTGCTGTTTTCCCCCACCAGTTAGCTAAAAGAAACAACAGAGTCCATTGGGCACACCCAACTCACCATCCAGTGTAAGTCATGTAGTTGCGAACGGGGTCGTATCCAGGCAGCAAAGGACACGAGTTCTGCGTTCCATTGCAAGTATTTTGGAAGCCAGGTTTCATGTGCTGCCGACGAGTGTCCTCAACCTGGTCATCGTTGCCCTCGCAACCGCCTTGGAACGTGTGATAAAGGCCGAGCCAGTGGCCCGTCTCGTGCACCACCAGCTTCTCAAGCATGGCCTCTGTCAGGCCGTTCGTGGCAATGATGACAGCGTCACTGGCTAGGGGAAACTCCAGGCCCCGGCGCTTTGTGGGTGCGTCAAGGAGGGCCCACGGGAAGTTGGCGAAGCCGTATGTTCCCAGGTTCGCAGGGACCAGAAACACGTTGAGCGTGTCCGCTCCGCCGCGACGGTAGGCGCGGACCAAGGCCGAGGTGACGTTTCCCCATATCCTGAATCTGTGCTGGCTGCCAACTTCGTCGACGTGTTCATAGGAGAACGGGCCGAACTCGAAGCCGACGCTGCGGTATTTGGTATAGGCTGCCTCGATGGCAGTGGTTCTATTCTACAGAGAGGGGAGAGTAGTGTTAGCCTGTTTCTTGGTCAGTGCTTCAAAGAAGGAGTCCGAATGCTGGAGTTCAACCTGGAAGAAACTCCTGTAATTTCTGTTCCCGACGAGGACAATGTTGACGGGGATGCGGATCGGCTCTTTTTCCTTAAACACGGCGGTGTCCTTGTACATGGACTCTAAGACAAAAAGATCGTCGCGGGCATACTGCTCTCCATCTCTGTGATCCATTCCGCAGAGCGTGAAGCCGATTTCATTGGGGTCGATCTCTCCGAAGGGGCGACCGAAGGAGGCCTTACCCAGCAAGAGGGGCAAAGCCCACGCGAAGTTGACCATGGTAGGCGATAAATGTTGCGAGACAAGGAGGCAGGTATGTTGGAATTCATCTCAAAGGTCAGTTAAAACCGGGATTTTTGTAGTGTGCTGTGGCCGAACAGGTTGGCAAATTTGAAAAGGAGAACAGCTGCGGTTGCAGCGCAGAGTTTTAGAATGGGCTGAACGCCCGCGGAGTATGTTTGAAGCATTTCGTCAAATTCATTCATCCTATTTATCCCCTCATGCCTAATCACTAGGTTCTATGTAGCCACATGTCTGGTGGCCTCAACGGGACACTTATAACACCAGCCAATAGACGTGCGCATCGCTGATGTCGACAGCGAAGCCACGTAACGATAAGAAATACAGAAAACTTCAACGACAGTGGAAATGTATGAGAGAAGTTCCACTGAAGGAAAGGGCTGAGCCCACTTCAACTCGTGTTGATAGAGCGCCGTTGAGATTTTGGGAGCTGCAGTTGCCTGGAGGCGCCATGCCGCACCATTTTGGAATATGGCAGGTCAACTCGTCCAATGAAGAGACGGTGTCAGGCTCTAGCTTCGGAAAAGAGTGTCGATGGCCGACCCGGACGGCCTTCCGAAATCGTTGACCGAGGATTGCTTACGCCTTCGGCTGCAGTGGCTCTAGCCCAACCGCCCAGGCAATGGAAGGTGAGATAGATCGCGCATGTGTGCGCCAAGATGTGACAGGGCGTCGTCAGCGGTCAGCCGGACGATTAAGATGCTGACGCCATCCGGTTCCCTGGGAATGGCCCACTTTCTGAAACGGAAAAATTGCTTTGTTGCTTATGAAGGATCAAGGGTATCATGTCGGTAATAACGTGGTGCTCATCTAGGCCTTCTTCAAGATGCGCTTGAGGAATCCTTTGCGGGATGTTGTTGATGATCCTGGAAGCAGGTCAGCGTCGTCTTCTTCAATTGTCGAGGCGCGCGAATATGACATGAACGTGATAAGACGTCGAAAGCCAAGGAATCGTAGCAACAAAGTGTAAATGTTGAAATTGCCAGGGCAACTTACCATCAACAACACTTTCGGCATCGGCCTTCTCTTTGGACAGAACAGGGGCACCGTTCTTGTCGACGAGCGTCACTTCTGAAGCCATCGCCGCGGCATTGGGCCTTGAGGATGAAGCTGGCTGAGCAGGTCGACGAGGCATGGCCGAAGCGTGCATGCCAGGAATGACCATGGCTGATTCGTAGTAGTTGCCAGACATGGTGCTCGTTACGGCGTCGCGAAGGATGGCCTTGAGGTAGGTCGTTTCGATGGAGCTCATGTGGAGATTTGAAGACGTTGTGTTGACGGAGGAATACCGTGAGTGTTCTCAATTGTATAGACTGAAGCTTGTTTGATTTACTGATGCCTTTCAACCTCAGGTCTCTGGGAGGGCTTGGCCGGGCTTTATACGCTTCGTGACCGTGATGCTGAATTTTAGATTTCCAATCCTAAACGACCTCGGGACCGAGTTCCCATCACCTTGACTCACAGACACGCAAGCCACTTCCGAGAAATACATGGCATCATCTCAAAGGGCGCGTCGTCAGTCGACTACTCAAACTTGCACGATGGAACTGGTCCGCCTTACTAGCGCGCTGCTCCGGTCACTGTCAGACGGGGGCACATCGATGCCGAAGCGGATTCCTAAATGCAGCCACCGACGGGCCAACGTCCAATTGTGCCCAGCATTGGAAATCTTACCAGAAAATACCTTGCAGGTCAGCCCTGTAAGCCCTTGCAACGTGAATGTCGGCCAGTCGATTCGGGTTAGATGGTCTGGATGTTCGAGCGAGAATTAGTAATGGGTACCTTCACCAGGCTAAATCACCATGATTCACCCGCCAACATGGGGTCGCTGTGGAGGTGTGGAGGGCCGGCTTCGGCTCGGCGAGCGCTCCCGAAGCCGAAAAACTGCAAGCCGATGCCGAGACCGACATTTCTTTCTCAAGCCGAACTCATCTGCTGTCTTGCATTCATCGATCAAACATCGCCGAACAAACGAGTGGAACACCGAGTTTGAGACGCCGAATCATTCGGAATCGGTTCATAATTATCCAATTAATTTGAAAATTTTATCCTTACAGAAGAATGGAGTCAACGGAGCCGAGACTGTTCCGCAAAAACGGACGGGCTCAGGCTTGTGAGCCATGCCGCAAACGCAAAGTAGCCTGCGACCACACACAACCCATTTGTAACAGATGCAGAAAGTCGAAGAATCCAGAAGCATGCGAATACATTGTCAGCAGCACCCCTGTGGCTCGAGAAAGTCCTAGACCGAATCGATCAAGAGAACATCGGCGAGCAAGAGACACCCGGGGCTCTGTGGCGCCATCGCCCCTGACACTCGCCTTTCCCCCATCATTGCCAGGCCATCCTTCAGGTTCAACAGCGAGAGCTCCGATAACAGTGCCTACACCGACCAGTGCGACGCCTGGGCGGCGGACCGGCTCCGTCTCCGCAAGCCACCCCACAAGCCCCGAGTCCGTGGCCGCGACTCCGAGCGTCCTCGGCATCGGCTACCTAGGCTTCACCTCTTTCTCCGGGATCTACGAGGAGACCCGGCATAATCTAAACCGGCTTCAGTCCTCCGGAACAGCTCCAATCAGTGAAATCGGCACGACCAACTACTGCGGCTTGGAGTGCTCTCCGCCCCTGACGCCTCAAGCTCTCGAGACATGCCTCAACATCCTCCGCCACGTGCCGAACCGGGAAGCCGGACTGAAGTTATGGGATAGCCATTCGAGCCCGAGCGACGGCTGGATTCGTCCCGTTGGGCGGCGGATCATGCTCTCTCTCTATGAGGCCTTCCCACGGCACTTCAACAGCGCTACGCCAGTGAGTGACAGGGAGATGGAGGCTCTTGCGCGTACCATATGCGCCAATACGGCGAAGCGCATCAACGACGAGGAAGCGGACCCGGAGAAATGGGTCGCTCAGCTTACTGGGCCGAACCTGCGATGGGAGTCGCTTGGTGTCGTCTTCGTGTATTGGGAGCTCGCGGCGAGATATCTCGGGCCGTATCGGCCGGACGTGGGCATGCAATTCGAGTCCGTGGACGAGAGCACCAAGATAGTGATGAGATACCGGTATTGCATAGGTGCATGCATTGAGCTGACAAAAGCTGCCGGTAGCGGAGGAAACACACTACTCCTGTTCATGTCCGTAAGGAGAACAGTCATTGAGTCGCTCTTTTCTGGCGATGCCGGTAAGTCGTCTCTCTCATTTTAATCATAACACCATACTAACAAAGTATTCTGAAGGATTTGCATGCTGGCAACTGCACTCCGAGACCGTGGCGCTGACCACGTTTCTCGGCTTTCATGCTGAGGTCGACACCGAGCCATACGTGCCGACCATCGGCGCCGAGATCAAACGCAAGGTCTTTGCGTATATTTTCTACATGGACAAGGTTCTTGCATCGTTTTCCGGCAGGCCGCCGTTGATGAGCCGCAGATATGCACGCACACCCCCGCCCCTGGACCTCAAGGATGAGCATCTGCTCTCTGACAAAGCCACACTCGCCCGCCATGTAGCAAACCTTGACGAGAATGGGTGGAACACTGAGGGCGGATTGTATTCCGCGACCTTCATCCGCGCCCGTGTAATGCTTGCTCGCATTCGAGACGAGTTGTTCGAGATCGCTCTTGGCCATGGCTCAGTGACATCCGTTGAGACTGTTTTGTAAGCGAATGCCCCTCCTCCGATGGTTCAAAGACAGGCTGCTGACATTATCACCCCTGTAGAGAAATCAAAGAGAGGCAATTGAGAACCATTGCTGGATTTCCGCCGATTGTCGTATTCAAAGATGAAGACATTCAAGATCGGAAGATTGACGTAGCCATACTCTACATACGACTCATCGTGTACCTGGAGCATCTCCAGAACATGTTCTTCATCGAGAGGCTTCTCGTGAAGCGCGGACATGATGATGGCGCGTTGCTAGCAGTCAGTTTTGAGATGGTTTCCAAGACTCTCCTGTTCTGGACAAACATGGACCGCCTGTCCGTGATGAATGGTGACTTTGAGTGGCTCGTACGTACATTCATTACCCCCTGAGCCCCTTATCCACCCAATGGACTCACACAGAGATACTAATACATATAGGTAATGGCATATGCCGCTCCCGGAGGCGGCATCCTCTGTCTTGAGCTACTCAAGCCCACTCTCCACGGGGGCAACCACCCCCAGAACCCCAAGTTGACTCGCTCAAGTATAATCCAGAAACTAAGCCTGCTCGTGGGCTTTCTCGACTGGGTTAGCCCAACCGCTCCGAACGGGGATCTCTGTGCCGACTGCAAGGTAATTATTCAGCACGTCCTCGACCAGGCCCTGAACAACCCGGCCGCCGCAGCTGCAGGCGCGTCTGCCTCCGCAGACGGCGGAGTTGGGCTCCCCGCCGGTTTGGATTCGATGGACTGGGACTTTTCGACACAGCTGGACTTCAATTTCGACCTGCTGGACACCTTTGACTGGTTACGGCCGGACGTGGCTTCGGTCCAGCAAGCTTGATATGGCAAGGGGTGGATTGACGGTGAGGCGGCTGCGGCTGCGTCTCCCGAGAGATGCTTGTGTAGGGGGCCCACCTCATGTATTCTTTCATGATGAGTGCGCCCTTCACAAACGATACCGGTGACTCTTTAGTATCAAGGAGGTGTGTCAAGGTCTTGTTTAGATGTTTGGTGGACGGATGAGTCAAGCGGCATGCGTCATATGAAGCTAGTGGAATTGGCTGCCCCACCCGGGAATTCACGATGCTTCATCAACTTGCGAGATACCCTTGATGCCATGCTAAAAGAATACATGTGCAATGATTTGCTTTAGATGAATGCTGTATTGATCTATTCAGAAGGCCCAAACATGCGCCGTAAAGAGGGAATGGAATAGTGGTTGCCTCACTTGATGAGTCCAGCGGAGCAAAAAACAGCAACAAACATACAACACCGGGCATTCGCCGGTCGTCACCGACCCGACTACTACTCCAGCCCTCATTGGCTTATCTATGGGAGAGCGGACGGGATCCCGAGTTTTCCAATGGGTATGGTCGTATGTGCTTGACGACGGTGTCTAGGATCATCATAACCCCAGAGCGTATCGCACCACTACCAACCCACCCGGTCGTCAGAGTCAACTACTGCCAATGAAACATGTGAAAGCGTACACATTGTTGCTTAAGATGGGATGTTATGGCTTTATCCGGGTGAACAGTCACTTGCGTGGATGACATCTTAGGGTAGTGGAGTTGACCGTCACACCCCGGGTTCGCGATGCTGCATCAACTTGTGAGATACCTCTGATGTCATACAATAGTTTAGTTAGATGTAATAGCTTTTTTCAGATTCCGAAAGTTCCAAATAGGCGCTTCTCAAGGGATTTTGAAACTAAGCTCAGCTTTTCCTCCAGAGTTTTGCCGCTTCAGTCATTGAAGCACCATTCACGATAGCATCCGTCACTGCCTTCTCTGTTTCCGCTAGACAAGACATCGATTCAAGTGTTCGTCCCACCAATCCCTTGGGCACGTAGACGACCCCGTTCAAGTCGCCAACAATCCAGTCCTCCGGTTGAATAATAGTATCTCGGCCATCTTGCGAGATGGTAACCGGCCCATTGATCTGATCATGTTAGTCGCTTGGACAGGTTTATGAGATATGAATAGAAAAGCGACCGCCCAATTTCCCTGTGTCTGCGAGTTTATGTGTCCTGTGAACGTAACTACTTATGTTATGGACGATAGTGACGATGACAACCACAACGACGAAAGTGACGATGACGATACCGGCAGCGGCGACGATGATGACGACGACGAATATAGTAGTAACGACAATAATAGCAAAGTAGAGTAAGCTATATAACCACAAGAAAAGTTGTAGCTCTAGCACAGGAAAAAAAGGCGGTCTCAAGCAGCTAGAAGTACAAGAAGAAAAGAGGATGTTCACTTACTTCGCTGATATAAAGGGAACCATGAGGTGTGGGAGCCACACCGCGACCAAAAACCTACACAGCGGTTGGCTACCGAGTCGGCATTATCGCACGTGGAGATCATTGTGCGCAAAGACCTACGGGATATTCCAGCTCGCGAAGCTCTTCAAGGTCTCTCAGTCGCCCATCGATCACCGTACCGACAGCTCCCAGCGTCTGAGCTCTTCGGGTGGTCAGCCCTCCCCAGCAGGCATTGATGGTGTTCTCGGGACAATAGATGAGGATCACGGCACTGGGACACTGTCCAACTGAAGGCGATCACGATGATCCATCAGTATGTTCAGTTCATGAAGTCATCGCAGAGACTTACAAAATGCCCGGTACCACCTTTCAGGGTTGCGTTTCCGTCCCTGGCGGACGAGGACTTGACGGTAAACGCTGGGCCAACTATTTTTGTTTGACCAGACTGGCGATTAGGCGACTACAGTGTTAGGCCAGGTAGGAAGCCGCTGTCAGGTACGTCAAGCTTCATGAGCGTATCTGCGACATCCCAGCTGAGTCGACTTCGCCGTCAGCTTCCCAACCGCTGGATCAAGAAAACCAGCTCAGTAGCAGCCACATATACTCTTTCTTTCCTTTGACCATTTTGCATGTCACGATGGGGGGCACTAGGGTCTACTTCTTGGTTGCTTTCCTGCTACACAGAAGAAGGGGCGGCGCAGGTCTACGGCATTAAAAGGTAGGTGTGTACTGTGAATAGCCTTCCGAGTATCAGAGCTAGGAGGACAGACCTGCCGCACTGTGGATGCCCACGACCCTTTTGTCTTACGGTAGGCGTCACATGATTGAGAATCGAAGCCGAACCTTGAACTTACTTCTCCTTAGCAACGACGTTTTTGCAATCTCTTCCACCCCTGAAATTATCAGCCCAGAGGATCCAACCACCTGTGACGCCTTCCGCTCAGCAAGCAAAATCCCTTTGACTTCCCTTCAACCCGAGCCAAATATATTGTCTATCAAGACCCCACCAAGTACATCCTTTCCCGGAGACTGAATGATCCTGTTAATCCGATTTCCTTTGCCAGCTGCAAGCCAACCGCCGTTGTCTTCCAACATTTCGTTCATGACCAAGCCGTCAGGGTTGTCCGCCTTTGGCATCGTCTTTCTGAACCCTCTGCGATCCACCACGTGCATCCCACGTGTCCACTGACCGGAGGCTTCTACGTGGATGTCCTCAGGTATGGGCTTAGACTTCCAGCGTGTGTCTTCTTTAGTCAGGATGTACCAGATGGTCATGGGATCATGCAGTTGAAGACCAGCATCGGAGGTGCTGTTTGGCCCCTTCATTGAGTCGATCTTGTCGAAAGTTTTGGACATGAAGTGCTCGGTCCACTGCGCCAAGGGGCTCCCGCTCGCCAATAGAGGTGTGATTTTCTCTGCGAAGTGCCGTCTGAAGAGGCGGTGCGGGGTCGTGATGTCCAAAGGAAACAAAGTCAGCTTGAGCTTGCCTTTCACATCCTTCGGGTATGGAGGTAGCGAAGCTGCGAGCGGCATCGTGGATTTGGGAGAAGGCGATGTCAGGGCGAAGACTCGGGCCGTTGCAGCTGGATCTGCATAAGTATTGAACTCAGCCATCGGCGTGATGTTGCCTGGCAAGTCAATTGCCCCTCCCATAACGACAACTTCCTTGACGCGAAGGAAAGTGTCTACATCTTCGGCGGCCGCCAGCGCTAGATTGGTCAACGGTCCGATGGCAGCGATTGTGATGGAGTTAGGAGGGCTCTCACGCAACAAGCGGAGAATCTCTTTGTAGGCGGGCTCTCTGGATGGGATGAACAGCGAAGATGAGAAGTTCTGCTGATCTCCATGGAAGGCGGCGTCCCAACTCTCCCCTGGAGTGAGATGAGGATGCTCAGTGTGGACACCATGAAGACCATCAGCACCATCTGTAAGTTGTTCAGCAATTGTTCGGTACTCTGACTTCATTACTCACGGAAATGGTCTGCAGCAAGCTCGTCTTCCTCAAGCGGATGCGCTGCACCGACTGCGACGAGCGGCTTGAACGCCTTGAGCGCATCAAAACCCAAGTGTTTGCCGTTGGCCTCCCGCCATGCCATCTCCTTCTCGAGAACGTGGAAGATAGCGACGACATTGCGAAGGCAACTGTTTGGTTAGCAAAAGTCGAGCGATTGGCATCAGAATGATCACTCACCTGGTGACAGGAACGTTGCCGTAAGTGACGGACAACAAGACCACCTCCAGATCCTCTGGAGATGACGAAAGTGCTTGAAGAATGGCAAGCACGTCGTCGACACCTATCAAGAAGAGACTCAGAACTCTGATCACAGCATTCAGAATGTTCACTAACCCGGGTCTGTGTCAATGATGATGCGGTTCTTTGGAGCCATGTTCGCAGTGTCAAGGCTTGGTGGAAGTTATAGAGATGGAAGGTCGGTGTGGCACAAAAGGGAGAGCCCGGAAAGTTCGACTTAAGTACGAATACTTGGTTAGGGCTTCATCAGGCGGAAAACCAATGGTAAGCCTCCGCAGGCATAGCCTAGCTCCCGGACACCCATTACGGAATTATTGTCATGACGCCGCAGGCTGGGATGGCAGCGGCACTACATTGGCTTTATCCCTCCTCACAGCCCTTGCTGGTGGGCCTATTCTTGGTATCCATGGAACCGGAGATCTTCTCCAAGGACGCACAGCTGCAGTTCACTAAGAACCCCGCCCTCCAAGGAATCGAAGAGATCCAGCAAAGCTTTGTGCCCGCCTTCGGTACTCTCTTGTACATGAAGCACGTGCCTATGAACTTTGTAAAGTTGGATCTGAGTTCTGGATGTACCTTCTGCATCCTCGAGATTGGAAGTCACAGTCCTCTCGGCGAAGTCTGCGCATTTGAGTAGGGAGTTTCTATTGTGTCTATGATACTCAGGATAGCCAAAGCCGAGAGTTCTCATCTAGGATCAGCTCAGATTCGACTCCAATCAAGTTGCAATATGGATGTTGGAACTCGGTAATGTAGGAGTGCGTCAATGGCGTCCTCGGGCGTCTGCACCGTCACGATGATAGCAGAATTGGTTGGGCGTATGAACTGCTCCTCTACAGCCTGTTTAACCCACTTCAAAATTCCATCGAGGAATCCATCGATATTCAGAAGACAAACACCCCGTGAGTGAATACCCAACTGAACCCATGTGGCAGCTTCAAGAATTTCCTCAATAGTCCCGTATCCTCCCGAGAGCGCAATGAAGCCGGATCCTGGACCACCCGCAAAAACTTCCTCGGCCATCATACGCTTACGGGTATGCATATCTTTCACAACTGTGGTGCGGCCATATGTCATCTTGTCCGGGATGGGCATCTTCTTCTCGGCACACATGCTGCGGTAGCTATCGTCGCGCTCAAACTTGACCAGAGGCTCGGGGATGATGCCATGGACTGCTTCCGGTCCGGAAATGGACACGAGGGTTTTGGCCAACTCGCCCATGAGTCCGACTGTGCTACCTCCGTAGACTAGATGAGTCTCGTAAGCATTTTGATGATGCATTTTTGAGATTGAGCGCCTCTTTCTTACCCAGATCAAAGTTTTTGGCAGCCATCAACTGAGCGAGCTTGCGAGCGGCTTCCATGTGCTTTGGGCTATAACCCGTAGACGAGCCGCAGTATACACATATTTTCGTTCGTTTGGGGGCATCAAGGTTGAGGCGATTCTCTATGCTAGCGACTGACATCTTGCTTGCTTCCCAGTAAACCACTGATGTAGAAGAAAGAGAGGAAGAAAGTAGGTGAGTGAGTGGTCACTGAGGAAAGATAAATAAAAACGTGAGGATATCGGGATGTGGAAGAAGCAACAGCGGCCTCTTAATAGTAGACGGATGAGTTCGGGCCAGGAGACTCTCAGAAAGCTGGGGCTTACCCATAGCAGAGCGAGCCCTAAGTGCCTAGTTCTGATCAAATTCAACTGTGATGTCCCGTAGCCCACCCTGGAGTGGCGCACAAGGCCACCTCACGAAAGGCGTAGTCGCACATGTTGATGCGATGTCATTGCATCAGACTCGTGATCCCTGTCGGGTGGTGTAGGGAAGGAGCAGTCCCACGATCCTGGATACCGTTGTTTAAAGAGATGAACCAATCCTAAGGCGACAATTGCGAGCCAGCCAATGAGAAGTAAGCGGGAGAATCTTGACTCGCCCATGACTCTCTGGGTTAGCACAGGGGCATTTCCGCCGAACTTACCAAGTGAAGGGGGAGAACTTCGTGTCTCTTTTTCTTTTCACTCCTGAATTTGACGGAGACTTTTCGTTGGTCTACTATAATCCCGAAAGCGCCACCCGTCATGTCACTTTTATCATCAGTGGTTTGTGTCGATGTACAGTTATGAATACAGGCCGAAATCGATCGAGAAAGCCAACAGCCAGGATGTCAATATCTCGGGTCAAGTCTGGCTGCAAGACCTGCAAGTAAGTCCCCCTCGGAAGGGCTCATAAAACGCCGGACCATGACTTAAATGTCTCACAGAATCCGAAGAGTCAAATGTGATGAGAACAGGCCAGCTTGCCAAAGATGCTTGTCTACGGGCAGAACCTGCGATGGGTACGGCATTTGGGGCGGCGGAGGCGGGCGCCGTTCCCTTGCATCCAGTCACGCAGCACATCCCTTGGCACAACCATCCTCAATCTCGCGTCATGATACACGTGCTGGTGCCTTGAGCCTCAGTCATGACGAGCACAGGCAATTTGAGTGGTTCGCTCGCCGTACCACCGGCAAGCTACCCGGGGTCTTCACATGTGCTCTGTTCTGGGAAACCCTGGTGCTTCAGGCGAGCTCAACGGAGCCAGCGGTATTATATGCTGTGCTAGCGCTCGGTGCCGCCCACAGGATGGAGATTGCGAATGCGTGTTGCTGCAAAGTCGAATCGGAGGACTCCGAGTTATCCAATATCACTACCCAAAAGCGGTTGGCCTTGCAGTACTACAACAAGGCGATTGGTCTGCTTCGACCTCAATTATGCAACAGACGCCCGGAATCCGTGCGCATTTCTCTTGTTGTTTGCATCATATTCATCTATTTAGAATTCCTGCAGGAGCGTTATGAAGATGGTTACGTTCACTTCCGGCACGGCCTTCAACTTTTGGACCTTCTCACTCCAGGTCTTTCGAGCGGGTCGAGGTCATTTCGAGACTGTGCCGATGAGTCTCTCGCCGAAACCCTGGCTTGGCTCGATATCCAGACAACTCTCCTCAAAACAAACTCTTCCCAGGGTCACTACTCTCGAAAACTTCCCTCTTGGCATGATACCCAAGTGCCCACTGCTTTTCGAGATATCCTTCATGCCCGTCAGAGCATGGATAGACTTTTATTTCGATCTTACGCACTAGAAGAACAGAGTCGACAAAGTAGCTACAATTCAGCCACAACGTTCGACCTGCTCGGTAGTCAGAAACGTCTTAGGAATGACCTCGCATTCTGGTCAAAGACCTTCGGTACCTACACCAAGAAAATGTGGCCTTTTATTGGGGATCAAGACAAAGTTGCCTACAGCTACCTACCGGTGTATCGCGAGATGGCTTTCATCATTGTCGAAACCAGTCTCTATCCAACGGACGAATCGATCTTCGACCGCTACACAGACAACTTTGTCTTCATTTTGTCGGCGATAAAAGATATCCTGGAGGCCATGTTACCCGTACCACTAAATCATGAAACATCGAGGCACTGCACTCAGCGGTTCAGTTACTCTGCTCAAATGGGTCTAATCCCGCCGCTTTATTACACAGCCATGAATTGTCGAGTGCCAATTCTCAGGAGACAGGCCGTTGAGCTTGTCACCACAGGACTCCACGAGGAAGGCATTTGGGACACGTCCTTGTCGGCACAGATGGCCAGAGAAGTAATCTCGTTGGAAGAAAGAGGCTTATGTGGATAGGACGAGTAGCCACGACGATGACGCTTACGTTGGTAGTGTATAAGGATCATCTCATAGAGCTGCAAACGTTTGAATTACTTCAGCGGTTGACCGGGTGAACACTTGATAATTGGCAAGTTTTATGTTGAGTTTTGCTATCCGGGCGGATACTTCTGGCTAATTGGTCGGATGACTATTATAATAAGTCAAATAGTTTATTTTATACTAATAACTTAATATCCCTGTCGTCCCTGTCGCTCCTATCGTCCCTGTTCCTATCGTTGTCACTATTGTCTTCGTTGTTATCCTTATTATCGTCTATACCTACTACCCGCCCGGATAGCTCGAAGTATCCGCCCGGATAGTAAACTCTCTATATTACCAACATCTACAATACTAACACATCCATGGATCTCTACATATTGGCGATCAACAGTTATCTATTCAAGGGGGATATGTGTCTCAAAGTCCGTAGGGAAAATCGTCAGTTATACATCGTTGAGTTTTGCCATGATATCCAAGCCTCTTCCGGTGTTCACACGCCTTGCTGATGAGCCCTGTGATTCAGCTGCTCGGAAATTTCAGAAAGCCTCAGGTCGTCCACGTCTTTATCAACAGAAGACGACACAACGCGACCGGGAAACCACACATTAAAGGCCCCCGAGCACAGAAACATCAGGGCGGTGTCCAAGCAGTAAAGGTACACCTCATTGCTCTGCAGCGAACCCGTCTGCCCCTCTGCAAACTCGGCAACCCTGAAAATGGACCGAACGAGAATGAGCAAGGAGGTGAAGTAAAGCACCAAGATGTATTCCTTCCAGGGCCTAACCCCTGCAAGACTGAGCGTCGTTGGTTGTCGCAGGATGCGGTAGTGGAAGACGGAGATCGACGCCATGAAGCATGCGAAGAAGAGGATTTGGATGCCGAGGCCAACGAGGATCATGTCCTGGCCGCGATCGATCCCGCTTTTGTCGTCTGCGCCGGAAAGAATGCCTCCTCCTACGACAAGTCAGAATGAAATTTCTATCGCGAATACCGGAAGACTGACCTATACACTGGAAAGCGAAGGAGAGCACATCCCCGAACACGAAGATTTTAGTCAACCATCTCACGGGTATGAAAGACAGATGCTCGGCACGGAGAGAGCTGATGATGCGACCTAGCAGCATGTAGATAGAGGCAGCATACAGCGCCGGGGCGAGTAGCGGCCCAAGGGTTTGGATGATGAAGGGTATCTGCGACCAGTCCGGAGTCTCGGCTGCGTTGACTGCTCGGGCTGAGTACCCAACTACCTGGACTGTGGAAATGTCAACCAAACAATCTCTGCAACATAATCACGAAGATGAATTCTTACAAATGGAGCCCACGACGAATGGGATGAAATACCATGTTCTCGCACGGATGGTTTGGAAGACATGGAGGACGCTGCTGATGCCGAATAAGGCGGCGAATGTGATTGCAGCAGCGAGCGAGGGATCATAATGATATTTTGAAGGAGGCTTCTGCATTTCTGACATCTTGATTGTCGTCCTTGTCGTTCTTTACTGTTCTCTTTGTCTTGATATTGATTATTGATGGCTGGCTGGATAGCTACTATGGCAACATACTTCAGCGGGGATACTGGGAGCATAGCATCGTTTATACTCCACCGTGGGATTAGACTTAAATTGTGAGCCTGGACCTTTCCAAGATTCTTACTGGGTCTACTATGCCAAATTGCAGAAATATGCTTGAAGTTGATGGTAGGACGGTGCTCGGGACTTTCTTTCCTCTTTAACACGCCTCGGTGCTTATGCACAGCCCGAGCCGGCGCCAAAAACATGAACACGAGAAAATGCGCAGTCAAGCCGCGCGCATGTATGTAAAATCCTGAAGCTGCCGCCTCTTATTGAATGCTCCCGGACTCTGTTGTGGCTTGGAGATGACGAATATCTGGCTTGTTGTCGCATGAGGGTCTGCAGCCCAGCAACGTTGAGCCCCCCTGCCAGAACATCCTGTCCACGAACCCATGATCAGCTGAAAGACAACTTGGGATGACAGCCACAGTCAATCTTAGCTACAATGAAGTCAATCTATCCGTTCGGCCCCTGAGTGGTCTTCGTGGCCTAATTGAGTTGCGCGGGGAACAACACGTCCCCCCGGAAGCAGAGATCTCGTGGTGTTGCAATGCTGCCCTTGTCTACAGAAACAAGTTAGTAGCATCGCAGAGCCATGAATGCCTGCCATCATGATACTGGTCCCGATCCTCCAGATTCGGGCCCGAAAAGAAGGGTCTGGATCGTAAGTTAACTGCGCGACCTGCTCAAAACCGCGAGAGAAAGGGACCGGGGAAAGGCCCTGCGGCGGATGAGTCCGGACAACTACGAATGTGAGCTCACAACTCCGCCATGTTTCATACTTTAAGTTAAGGGTATCCATGCCCGGTTTGCATGAGTGTCTGGCCTCTATTAAGAGCTGAAGCGGACGGTCAATGTCTGCAGGGCAGGAAAACCTGGACCAGTGTCTTGGGACCACTCTCAATGTAAGGCATGCCCTTACATATAAGGAGCAAGTATAAAGAAAGAATTAGGCCTGCGCTGTTAGCTTGGATAAAATCACTACATTGAAATTTGAGTATTACAACGGTCCCTAACTTCCCTACATCACAATGTCCTGGATCTTGATTCTGTCCGTGATTCTCGGCGGCGATGCTGCGGAGATGTTCAGACCAAATGTTCACTCAACGTATCTGAACGTAATACTACTACAAAATAAAGCCCGTCTGGCAAGGCACGCACTGACGTGATACCCAAGACTCGAATCTCGTCCTTGCACAACCTCTTCTCGGACCAGACCACCGGCTCCTTGGACCAGCCCCTTTCTAACAACCACCTCGGGCTCCCAATACCTCGCCCTATCTCACGTTCTGGGCAATGTCTGCAAGTCTTCTCTTCTGGGACTGGATTCCTTCGAATACTGGAACAATCTCCAATACGCCACCCCTCAAAACACCTCCCTCGCCGCCGCCCCTGAATTCACAGTGTCAGTCAGCACCTGCGGCGTGGGATCCACGGCAAGCGACTTAATCTCCAGCCCGTCTCTCGACACCTACCGCTCCGCAACCGTCAGAGATGGCGAGTAGTCGCAGTATGTGATCACCTTCAACATGGAAGCCGGCGGCAGTGGCTGTGGCCCGTGGACCTCGGCCAAGCCCAACATCACTTACCCTCAGAATTGGACACTCAAATCTGAGAACGGCGACGTGCTAGAAGTCCAGTCGTTGCGAAGTGATCAGAAGATATGTGTTTCAAGATAACTTAGTGACACGGTTTACGCGGGCTATGTTAACGTGACTGGGAGTTTCTTGGGTCAGGAGAGGGGATTTGGGGCCGTGGAGATGATCAAGCTTTACTGAGTTACCTGTCCACGGCATCTCGTTGTCCAAACAGCGGGCGACAACACTCTTGTGCGGCGGCAGAGTCTCTCTCGCTCATTCGAGAGCCAATATTGCTCCCCCTCTTCGTATCATCGTACAGAGCTTGAATGCCATATGTTCGCACCTGTACAGATCTCCCTCTCTTCACCAAGCTGGTGTTATTCAAACTTGAACCTGATGTCCTCGGAGATAAAGAATAAAGAACTGACACATAACCGAGTCAGAAACGCTTCCCAAAACTAGACGGCCATGAATCAGATGACCGGGAATACAAGCCGTGGTCATAAGGGAGCTTTCTATTTCAAGTTGGTGGACCTGGAAAAGGTAAAGTCCCCTCAACGTTTGCGTCGTTGGATCTTCTCCAGGAAAATTCTAGAGTTTTCTCTAAAAGCGAGGTTTCCGAAGCATCTGAGCCGAAGCCATTGACCCGATGTTGATTCAAACCAGCAACAATATTAAACAAGCACACAGACTCATACAATACGTCCAAGAGACTTTGATCCTACATATTCCGCACACAGACATGCAATGTCGATCTCACGATGGGACGACAGCCGCACAGGTTATCTGGACGGCATTGAAGGCCGTCACGCACCGTCCGAGCGAGATCGCATGGCATGCCGCAACGCTAGAAGAGATGAGACCGAAAAAGGTTACCCACAACGTCTACCTGAACTAGCAAATTCTCCTCAGAGATTGCTCCCACGTTTGGCACGTCATAGTAAAGCACAGATAGTCGTGGTCCTGGGCAGTAGCAACCATTTTTCTGACACAATAGTGACATGAGGGTAATGATACCAGGGAAACTGTGCTGTTGTCACTAATCTACCACTCACTCGGAATGGTAATACTTCCAACTCCGTCCTTCCCAAGACGGGAATCGAAAAGCTTGTGTTACCAGCTGCTCTCAACATGGTTAGACGACAACGCCGGAGGCAGTCAAGCGACGACTCGGCGCGTTCATCTTCAACGATTCGACCACGTTTTTCGGCTCAAACCCTGCGCAGCTCCTATAATCTCCTAGCGAGACGTAGCCCGGCCTGCCGTGATCCTCCTGGGTATGTGCCGCTCGGACAAATATCAGACCATCGGAGACAAGTCACCACCACTCTCAACTCAGGAGACAACACACCTTGACGGTCCGGAATGTTGAAATCCCCCGACTCTGCTGAGAATACCCCATCGTACTCTGAGGATGCGTACACCGACAGGTCAATGATAGGCATGCAACATGAAGACACCAATGCGGTCCTTCCACGGTTCAGAGATGATGAGCTGCAGCCCTGGAGCTGCGCTCATTGCTCAACAACCAAGCAAGTCCCCCCTCGCTACCCAACTTGCAGCCCAGCGGCAAAGCCTGTGGCCTAGGAGGTTAGAGGTTATTGACAACTCGCCATCAGGGGCGATATAAGCAGGCAGGCGAGGCCAAGCAACACACCCGCATAACCACCATGCTCGAGACGCTACGACAACCAATCAAGTCCATTTCGCAATGAGCCGGATCACTGACATGCCGTGCTATTAGCGTGCTTATCGCGACAGAAGGATGGGAAATGGGAGGCAAAAATGGCAGATTGTTCGAGCTGGTACTCGCTTTGTATGTCCC